GCTCTAATTACCAACTGCAGTGAAATATTCTAAGATGATGTATCTCAGGCTCCATCTTATTTCTGGATCTTGCTCCAATTAATTCTATTTACCAGTTTACAGCACCTAAATGAGATGCACTGAGCATCAGGCCATGAGTTGCCTGGTCTTTCTCCCTTGGTACCCTGGGCTAATTGCTCTTCATAGCTACTGTAGTACTGTTTTGAAATCTTAGGACAATGGTATTAATACTCACTTGCTATCCAGAAGTTTTTTGAGACAGCCTTTTCAAGTGTAAAAATCTTTTTAAGGTTCCAGGTCATACTACAGAACTGAGAACAGTTATTTCTTCTCTTTCATATGATTTCTCTGTGGCCTGTTCTATTTCTGAATGCTAGAAGTGGCACTGCAAAGAGGGTATCTGTTCTGCAAGAAAAAAGGAAGGGGAAGTCTATTTTGAAGGAGGAAAAGAGGGAGGCTGTTTGAAGGAAATAGAGAACACATGGGAGAAAGGAAGGGTGAATGTGAGAGGAAGAGCACAGATTCTAGTGCAGGTGAGAAGCAGTAACCCAGTAACCCAGGTTTTCAATACCTATCCCAAATAAGGTGAATGTCCCCATTGTCAAATCTTGGGGCTAGCACAGCAGAGGCTATAGGTTCCTTCCAGGTCCCAAATAATGCTCACAAGAGGAGCTTTGAGGATGCTGCATTTTTCCCACAAAGAGTTCAATTTCAGAAAGAAAAAAGATTTGGTAGAAAACTCTGGGCCAACACTATTTGCAATCTCATTCTCATTTATTTGCTCAAGTAATCCCCAGTGCTTGATTTACGTAAGACTTGAATTAACTGTGTATTTATTCAGAGATCTTAAATTACACTGATGTGATGAGGTAAAATTACAAGCTGATGCAGTTTCAAGGGTATTAACAAGCACATGATGGTGAGGCAGATCCCACTTGCCACTGAGGAATCCAAGCCCATTCAAAGGTTTCTAGAGAAGGTTGCAAGAAGGATCTTTTACAAGTACAACTGCTTTTCATGAAGCAAAAATTCTCTTAGCACCGATGTGAGGTAGAGGGATGCAGTACTTGTCAGAGACTTTTGAATAAAATTAAAGGTGCTTGCTTGATGCTGTTCTTGGTGAACAGTCTTGGTTTGAGCTCAGACACTGAATGAAGCAAATTTTTGGATCTGAGCAATATCTGAATAATGTATGATAATACCAGGAATAAAACAAATTCAGATGAGCAAGAAGCTGGGAGCAGTTATGACCCTGATCTAATGCAAATTTTCTCTAAATATGAAGGTGATTATAACTTCAAGCAGAGGTGCCATTAGAAAAGACAAACTGAAATTGCCATTGCTTCTGGTGTTAGCTGTTTCTGAAGTACCTCACATTTCCAATAGATGCTTAGTGAATTCAGGCAATGAAAGCTAGCTATGAAGTTGTCACTGGATGGGATTTAAATGAAGAGGGAGGAAAATGATAATGTAAGTCTATGGCTGATGTGAGTGGAGAGTTGACAGGACCATTTGGAGTTTGAAGTTTAAAATTTGGAGGTCCACTGAAAGACAGAATCTGAGACAAAATGCTCATAAAGAAATGACTGGAAGTTCCAGTACTGAAATATGATGCAGCAAATAAGATACAGTTAGGAAAGAAAGCTATCTGGTCCATGAAGCTTGTGGAGATCATCAGCTTGAAGAAGATGAGGCAAGAGGATTGGGGATGAAAACTGTAACTGGTATAAAAGGATCTGTCTGCTTTGCCTAAGTGGTGCCAGTGATGCATGTGGCAGAGCTGCTGGTGGTTTGCACCACGTGAAAGGGAAACAAGGATACCCACACAGCTAAAAATGGTTAGGTCAGGCACACAGGAGACTTAGAGGCGTTCAGAGATGGACAGGGCAGGTCTTGAAGTGGGTTGGGGTTCAGGAGCGCCTGTGACGTCTGTGTGAGCAGCATTATCACAAGAGGGAGCTGTCCGCCTGTGTGAGATTGTCACCCCGGCCAGAAACTGCGGGGAAACAGCAGCAGGGCTCTCAAATCGGAGCAGGAGGCAAGAGATCCCGAGTGCTCAGACAGACAGTGACCATGGCAGCACAGCATGGGAGGGCACGGGCTGAGCTGGGCTAGCAGAACTAATCCCCCAGGGCAGGCCACCAACACTGCACACTGCTAATTGCTCTTCTGCAAGTCAGGTCCTGCATGGTGCTAGAGCTATCAGTTAATTGTTTTTTACTTTTCTGTAGGCTTTGCTGGGAAGGGAGAAAAAGGAGAGGCGCTTGGTCAAAGTCGGACAAGGTGCTAATCAGAGGTTCATGTGACAAGGCAGCTGATCACCAAGGCTCCGACGGTGAATTAAGTCGATGTGTGTCGATCGGCTGTGAGCAGTGTCTGAGCACAACAGGGCCCGTGTACCCAGCAGAGGGCATGTGCACACACACACAGACACACACAGACACACACTCACACAGACACACACACACAGACACACACAGACACACAACAGACACACACCACACACACACACACACACACACACACAGACACAC